CTGAGTAGCTGGGATTACAGGCACACGCCACCATGCCCGGCTAATTTTTTGTATTTTTAGTAGAGACGGGGTTTCACCGTGTTGACCAGGATGGTCTTGATCTCTTGACCTCGTGATCCACCCACCTCGGCCTCCCAAAGTGCTGGGATTACAGGCTTGAGCCGCCGCGCCCGGCCGAGATCTTTTCAAGTTAAATGTATTTTCGTCTTCTGTTGATAAATGGATATGTTCCAACTCTTCTTGGCAAACTACATTTACTTTAAAAAAATCCTTCAGAATTCCGTATACACACAAATATTATCAGTCAACATGGAACTGGAAATTAACTGTCAGATTTCTTCTTAACCTGGCTATTCTGGAAGAATAATCCACTGAGGGACCAGTACTGAAGATTTTGATAGTCAAATAAGAAAATAAATTTCTGGAGCCATATATAATTATTCACTTATTATTTATTATTTATACCCTCATTTTGGAGCATCCACTAGGTTTGAGGCGTTGGGTTAAGTGCTAGCAATGCAACAGTAAATCAGAAACAGTTCTTGCCTGCTCTTACAGCCTAATAAAGACAAATCAAAGAACTTCAATGCTGAAGATGTCTCAGAGACCACAGTCTAGAATTCCCCAACCCCCAATTCATGAATCAGAGAAGCAGATTTTTATACACTTTTCTTTACCTATATTATTGATAGCAGACCCAAATTCATTTATCTCGACTATTCTGTTGCAGGCAGAATTCTATGAAAGCCCCCACAATGTTTCCCACTGCTGTTACTCCCATGATTTCATTATATAATACTGCAAACGGGATATTGCAGACATAGTCAAGGTTACTAATCCATTAAGATGGAAAAATTATCTGGCTCACCTAACCTAATTATATGAGCCCCTTAAAAGCAGAGAGTTTTCTGTGGACAGTAACAGACAAGAAAGAAAATTCAAAATGTGAAAGAAATTTGATGTAAGGGAGGCTCTGTGTTCTGGGATAGAGGGGGCTATGAGGGAAGGACCTGAGGACATTCCCTAGGAGCTGAGAGCAGTCCCCTGATGACAGCCAGCAAGAAGGTGGGGGCTACAAGCTGACAACTTGATTTCAGCCTTCACCAGAAAACTCTGGTCATCCCAAGCTTCTGGCCTACCAAACTGAGAGCTACCAAATTTGGTACTGCAGCAACAGAAAAGTAATGCACATTGTTTTGTTCTCATATGTCTTTCCTGGGGACTAGTTAGCACGCTACAGACCAACTGGAGCTGAGATTCATGGATTTCAGCTACCTTCTTTATGTCCCAATGTGGAAATTAAAGTCCAAAATTTCTAGCCATATTTTCCTTTTTTTGTCTTTTTCAATTAATTGATTTATTTTTTATTTTGAAACAATCTCAAACTTCCAGAAAGCTTGGAAGTATAGTACACATTTTTTTTTTCAGGAACCATTTGGGTGCATACATTAGTGATATGATATAATGTCACCTCCAAATACTTCAATGCAATGCATTTTTTTTTCTCAACAAGGGTATTCCCCTACATACTTACAATACAACCATCAAAATCAGGAACTTAAGGTCACTTCAGCTCTCAGAACTCAGCCTACTTTCACAAAGTAGTCAAATAATTTCCTTTACATCCAAAGCTCCATTTTGGAGTCACGTGTTGTGTTTGGTTAGTCTCCTTCAACTCAGAACAGTTTATTATAGAATCCCTTGACTTTCAGGACCTTGAAACTTGAAGATTACAAGCCAATTATTCTGGAAAATGTCCTTCAATTTAGATTGTTCTGATTTTCCTTCATGATAGTCGTATACTTTTGTAGGAATGTTAGAGAAATAATCTGTGTTCTTCTCACTACTATAAAATGGCACACAATTTCTTTTTGTACAATACTAATGATGTTAACTTTGATCATTTAAGGTGGTGTCTGCCAAGTTCTCCATTTTAAAGTATTATTTTTTGCTGTGTAATTAACAAATATTTATGGGAAAGTAATTTCAGACTATGTGAATATCCTATTTGTTGTCAAATTTTTTATTTATTCATGCCTAATAATTTGATCAACACAGACTCATGGTTTATTATTTTATTGCATGTTTTATGATCTGTTGTTATCATTTATTTTGGTACTCAAATGGTCAGAAATTTGGTCAAAAGGAACCTCTTGGAGTTGCTTCAGTGTTATTTTGACAAGTTCCAAGTCCCTTTCTTCTTTCAGCACTTTCCTACTTTCTGATACATCAAGAAGTCCTGGAAAAAGGTGGCCTTTTCTCTGAGAAATACTCTTTGTAATAAAAAGTGATATTTAGAAACCAAGATCTGGACACTGAGTTCACTCATTGCTTTTAGGTTGTTGTTATCCCTAGGAACACTGGCTTTAATATCTCCAAAACACTGTGCTCTCTGCTTCCCCATGACTTTTGTACATGCTGTTCCGTCTACGTGATTGTCCTTTCTTCTTCACATAATGAACTCTTCCTACTCATTCTTTAGATCAAGGCTTAAATCCTGCTTCTTCAAGGAAACTTTCCCTGGATGCCTAGATTGGCTGAACTCTACACTCATAGCATCATGTTCTTTCCAATCTAGAATATAGCAATTATTTGGAAACATATACCTCCTCCTCATTAGACTAATAAACTTTGAAAGACAAAATCTGATTTTGATCAACATTGTATCACTAGTGCCTAGCACAACTCCTAACACATAGTAGTTCTCAACAAATATTTATGGAAATAACAAATGGGTGAGACAGTGAATGAGAGAATGAATGAAACCAGAACTAGACCCCAGTGCTTTCCTAGCTATTCCACAGTGGACACTTAGAACTTAAAAGGACAGAGCTCACTGAAATATATTCTCTAAATTCTTAGACATATGGCACAATTTTATTCTTTCTAACGGAACCCTGAATTTTTGCACACTGGATCAAATAATTTTCCACATTATTTTTGAATTTAATTCTTTAAATGGATTCAGACAAAAGTGGAAAACTGGGTACCCTCTGAGAAGGTCATTGTGTTTGCCACTATTGAGTTAATCACTTGGGCTTATTCTCCATTAGATTTATTATATTCTGCACAACTTAGCTAAGTTGCAAGAAAATAAAAAGCTACAGAAGAATATTTAATTTGATTGCATAATACTAAATCTTCACCACCTCCTGGGTCCCTAATTAAATCTTATTTTTACACGGTGCCTTGTTTTTGAATATGGGCAGTTCTGGAAGTCTCAGGAAGGGAATTTATGATACAGGAAATCCAGAAACTCACTTTGAGACAATGTGGACTTCTAATAATTCTACCATTGTCTCCACCGGAAGGCCAAACATACAATTGTCTTCTTAGCTTGATGCTTTTATGGTTTTTCTCTTGGTTTTGAATCAGACCTAGACTCAACAAAGACCCACCTATGGTTTCTGCCTGTCCCCAGCTATAACTCCAATAACTGTGCTTGGGCATTATGTCAGACGTTTTGGCATCATTTGAAGCATTTGATTATTGAATTCTGTTGACCTGCTAGAAAGTAAGTGGGGTCAGAAGGGCAGTCCTAAAATAGTTATACTTCTTTCAGTCCTGAGAGATATATTAGGAGAGTTTTCAAAAGGTTTTTTTTTCTCATTTTACAGTTTCTGAGATGGACTTCTGAGACATTTGGTATTTTTTCTTCCTTTCATCGTGTGCACTGTTTATTATAAAAACAAGAGAATCTCACAGCAACTTACACATTGAAAAATTGTTATTCAAGATTTCTCCTTTTGCCTGACTTGCACTGTGGTGTTCTTTAAGGTATCTGGCAAAAGTGAACCTATTTTTTCAACCTGGTTGAAACCTGGTTTGAAAAAACTGCTGGTAGTTCTAAAAAACACATGAGAAATGAAGAACAGCACATGTGAGTTAGGAATCTCTCTTTTGTTCTTGTGAGGCTATAGTGAAACAAAGATTCTTAGCCATATTGAGGCTCTTGTAACTTGTTCAATACTTCACACCAGAGTCTACAGTAATTATAATTCCAGAAAAATTCCTCTATTCTTCAGCTTCTTTTCAGTGGCATATTTTCCTCATTCACTAAGTTATGTTTCAGGTGGTTTAGCATTTGATTATGACTCATTTAATGTGATTTTTCAAAAGAACATTTGTTACTGCATCACATCGCAAAAATAATTGAAATGGATGCAATTCATGGATGTGATTTAATTAACTAGGACTTTTCCCCTACACTGAGAAAATGATAAGGGGGTCTCTACTAGGCAAACTAAAATATCCCAACCAAGACAACTCAGTATTCAAAGAATCAGAGCAAGCTTACAAAAGTCTCCTGTAATGAGAAGACTGTCTGAAAATACAATTTTCAGCTTTGAAGTGAATAAATACTGAGCTGCTAGACTCTACCACTTTCTATGCAGAAATGCATCTTAATTGTTGTATCACTTCTGAATTTTGGAAGGAAAATTGGCCATGTGTGTGCCATTTCTAGCAAAGGGAAAAAAAGGTAATTGGGTTTCTGTATACCATGCCTTCGGTAATGGTCTGGAAGATGGAACTGCAAAAGGCTCCTTTTTTGCTCTAGGACTATATTTCATTTGTCAGAATGAATGCAGGATATCAGGTCATTCCTAATACTGAGTAATATTCTCCCAGTTGAGCAGAGCACCACTCTGTACCAGGCATTAGCAAAGCCGAGCATGCTGACTAGAAGAGACTTGCTGGTGATATTTTAGCCTAGTCAAGTGATGGCCTCTGACCACAAAGAACATTGGCTGGGGCTCTTTCAAATTATCCAAGGGATTTTCAGGTATCTAGTCTATTTTTCTGTATAGAAATCCTCTTTAACATCCCACCAAAAGCTACTTAACTTAAAATAATATCCTACAAATACCATATTCCTGGGAGGAATCTAAAATACCACTTTATCTACTGGGGCTACTGAGTAGGGGTGATGTTGTTATGGCAAATGTCTACATTTCTGGCGTAAATATTTACTTAGCTCTGCTTGTCAACAGCTGAGTCGTTTCTCTGTTCTCCCACTTGGAGTCATTTGATACCCAGTAAGGATCACCTCCCTTGGAGGCTGCAGTGTTTATCTTCCAAGCACTAATATTAAAATATAGCTCTTGACTCAGGGGACGGCAAGCCAGGGGATTTCTGAGCATCATTCCTTCTCTTATTGAGTCTTGCATAGGGAAAACCACCTTTAAAGAATATAAATCATTGAGCTACCTGTTTCACTATAAACCACAGGTACCTTCTCTGCCAGAAGTGAAAATCTATTTTAAATCATATTTAAAATCTAAATTTAAAAGTATTGATATGTTTAGAAAATTTTAATTGTTCTAGCTTTTAAACATGTTCATGAAAAAAGTTTTTGAACTGTTTAGAAAAATGGAATCATTTAGGAAGTCTACAAAATCCTGAAAAAATTAGTTCAGTTAAGATACTTTCTTACATAGAAAATTAAATCACTCTATAGAATTAGAAACTAGAATTTACTAGCTCTTTTAGGGTGGAAACCATACCTAGCAGTTAGTAAATTGTTAGCAATCATTTGTTGAATAAATGTATAGATGGAATATTAACAAAATCGGTATTGTATTAGATAAAAAGTATAATTAAGTAATAGTACAATTATTTAATTATTTAAGTGCTAGATAACATGATTTTGACTTAACCAGTGGAATTTTTGGTGGATTTATCTTCACCTACAAGAAAAGCATCTTGGGAAATTATTGGGATGATTGGTATGAATAATATATAAAACTGTTCCTCAGATCTTTATATTCATATAAAGATCTTGGTCATTTTGCTTTTTTAAAACATAGTTTCAGAGCCATCCCTTGTAAAGAGAACTTCAAAATGTCAAGGAGAATTCACTACCTACAGAATGGGTGAGTAGAGTCACTTGGCAGGTGACAACCCAATGTCCCAAACCAAGGAATACTAAACTAGGGGATTTTTTTAACTGTCTCCTACAAGAAGGAATAAGGGGATTTCATTACTTGCCACAAGTACAGAGAACAACAGGGATAGCTTCCAAAGCAGTGCCTCCCCAAGCTAAGGGCTGGGTCAGGTTTTAAAAGCATAGGGTAATGAGGTATGATCTGATTGGATCTTGGAATAAGGTGATGCTGTGATCTGATTGGATCTTGAAATAAGGTGATCTTACTGGATCCTGCCATGAGTTTGGCCTAATTGGATCCTAAATCCTTCTATGGGGTATCCCATTGTAATTTACTCCCTACTCCTCAGTTCAAGCACTAAAGTTCCCTCTGGTTGCACACCTGGTTCATCTGGGCATGCTCAGGCTAGGTGATCTTCAACCTGAGGGTCCATGGCAGCCAAAAAAGAACTTGCAACTTTGATACATAAAAATTGAACCAGATTGGCCTGATGCAGTCACAAACGGACTCTGAAAACAGGAACGTACTAGAACACAATAATGGCAAATACACAGAAACAGCAAACCAAGATGTTTCCTTGGCACTTTTAAAAGCATGACATATCTATGATTATCATTTTGCTGCAAATCATATAGTGAAAATTTAGAAATCAAATTTATTTTCTTATGTTTGTCAGAAGCATTTTATATCTCTAGGGTATGGAAATTAAACTGCTGTTGCAACTTAGGAAATAATGTACAATAGTTATTAGACTTTCACATTTCTTTTTAAACTAATGTAGAATACCAAATAATAAATTACTATTTAACATCTCCTATGTTCCAGTACTATTCTAAATACTTCCCAGTATGAAAAAAAAGAGCATATGTCATTATCACTATGTTCAAGTGACATATTTCTTATAGGGGAAAAATGTAACTATTAATAATAACCATGAAATAAATACTAAACAACTCAAAACAGAAAGAATTAAGTCCCAAGTAGCTATGGAAAAAACATCTTAGGGAAAGATGTCATGAAGTAGTTGAAATTGACTTTATGCTTTATGGAAACAATCCAGAAAAATGAAGGGCAAGAATAGGCATGTGCAGCCCAGTGAGCAACAGGAACCTGATGGCAGAGAGGAGAAGGCATATGACATGAGTGAAGTCAGAATATGGACCCTTTGAGAACAATGGTACTTTACTGGAGGAGTGTATGGGATGAGTGCACCCCGCAAGCTATTTTCAGTAGAAATGTAAATGAAGGAAAGACTTTCATTAGAAGCCAGGTTAGACCTGAATGACGTTCAATTGTCAGGGGGATGATTCAAGATATCAATTCATTTTTTCTTTCTTCTTCTTGTGCCCATTCCCTGATGGGTCTTCCATTCACCTATAACAAGCAATCTGTTGGTTAGGAATGGCTAAGTAATATGTTTCAACTATGAGCTTATTCTTCAGACAATTCTTGTACCACAGCCCACTTCCTGGCCTACACTCTTAACATTCATGTCTTCTTGGTAAAATTACTGTATTAGTCTGTTTTCATGCAACTGATAAAGACATACCTGAGACTGGGCAATTTACAAAAGAAAAATGTTTAATTGGACTCACAGTTTTATGTGACTGGGGAAGCCTCACAGTCACGGTAGAAGGCAGTGGGGAGCAAGTCACATCTTATGTGGATGGCAGCAGGCAAAGAGAGAGCTTGTGCAGGGAAGCTCCCGTTTTTAAAACCATCAGATCTCGTGAGACTCATTCACTATCATGAGAACAGTGCAGGAAAGACCTGCCCTCATAATTCAGCCACCACCCACTGGTTCCTCCCATGACATCTGAGAATTATGGGAGTTATAATTCAAGATGAGATTTAGGTGGGGACACAGCCAAACCACATCAACTACTCCTTGACTAATTATTTAATTATAATTAAATAGTAATTATTTAAATAATTAAAGCTTTTGAAAAAACATTTTATTTTGAATACTGTCACACTTACAAAAAAGTTATACAAATATTGTTGGACTATGCCTGTATACCTTTCACTGAACTACCCCAAATTACTGTATTATGAAGCAAATCTACATATTTTCTTTTTGAATTTTGCCAGTCTCCCCCTAATGTCTATTTTCAGGTCTAGAATCCAATCGAGGAGGTCATGTTGCGTTCTGTTGTCATTCTCCTTTGACTCTTGTAATCTGGAATGGTTCCTCAGACTTTGTCTTTCATAACCTTGCCTCTTTTGAAGTGTATTGTTTGGTTGTTTTGCAAAAGGTTTCTCAATTTGGATTTTTCTGATGTTTCCACATGATTAAATTCAGTTGTGTAATTTTAGCAAAAATACCAAAGATCAGACATGTCATTATCGGTGTGTTATAACATTAGGTACATGATGCCAATGTGTCTTATTACTGATGATGTCAGTAATAAGATTAACATTTGGCTAAGATAGTATCTTCTCCACTATAGATTCTGTAGCTCACACATTATTGCTGATTTGTGGATTCATCTCATAAGTGTGAGACAGTGACTTAGATTGCAAAGCCTCTATCTTTCTCTAGTTCTGCATTCAGCTTTGCCAACTCTGGGCCACATGTGTGTGTTAGCTTTGTGATGAAGAATTCTCACTTCAATATGGGTATACCACTTATACTAACAAGGTAAGAGATAACAAGAACAACAAGCATTTCATTCCTGTTTGTGCTTGTGGGTTCCAGGTTTATTTTTTTGTCTCTTCTCTTGCCCCCAGCTTTATGCACATCAAATTCTAGTAGCAGGCATGCAGGCAACAACCTTACAGAGACTGATTAGCCAGTTTCCACAATTGCTTATGGTCAAATCATTTATTTATATTATGCTTCTTTGACTGATTCCAAAGTTTTGTACTAACAAGTGGATGCTATTATAATAAATACCTAAAAATGCTGGAGTGTCTTTAGAACTGATTGATAAAAGATAAAAGGTATTTTGAAAAAAATGTATTAGAAAAAGCCTAAACTTCCTTGAATAAACTAATATAAATCTGGACTTTGAGAATGCTGCTGGCAAGGGGTCCGAAGGAAAGGAAGAAAATGTTAAGGCTGGATGAGACTGAAATAAGAGAGCTCTATGTCATGCAGCAGCAGAAAACCTAGTGCACCTGTCATAACTTGGAAAGCAAAAAAATGTGCCTAACAAGCTGGGTGATCTAACCAAGAAAATTTTCAAGCAAAATGTTAAAGCTGCCACCTGGTTTCTTCTGCTGTTTATAGTAAAATGCAAAAAGAGAGAAATAAATTAAGGAAAGGACTGTTAAACAAAAAAGAGCTAGGACTTGATGACTTTAAAAGTTCTCAGCCTCCTCAAACAGCAAACAATGCTAGGAAATGGCTTTCAAACAAAGAATCAAATTTGGAGCACTACCTGAAAAACACGATCTGGCGATGAAGATGAAGATTTGACTGCAAAGTCTTTTCTTAACACCGTAGAAAGGCAGTGCCTCAGAGAACTATTCAGTCACACAAAAGGCCCTTTAAGATTAAAGATGTGCCACTGCCACCTTGGGTTGAAAAGGACAGGCAGTACAAAGAGGAAGCTGGAGCCCTAAAAGGTCAGAAAGTAGGCTAGGAAACTACTCATATGAAAACATGTGACATCTTTCATGATAAAGGGAGGGTGATCCAGCAGGCAGAACCAAGAGCCTTGTTATAGACCAAAGCGTTTCCCCCAAAATTCATATGTGGAAGCCCCTAACCTCATATGAGATGGTATCAGAGATAGGGCTTTAGAAAGATACTTAAAATTTTAAATAAGTTCATAAGGGTGGAGCCCTGATTGGATAAGACAGGGGTCCTTATAAAAACAAGAGAAACTAGACTGTCTTCCCCCCGCCCCCCGTTTCTCTGCACACACACGGAAGAAAGACCACGTGAGGACACAGTGAGGAGGCAGCCATCTGCAAGCCAGGAAGAAAGGCCTCCTTGCTTATACCTTGATCTTGGACTTCTGGCCTCCAGAAATGTGAGAGAACAAATTTCTGTTGTTTACAAGGCACCCAGGTAGTGGTATTTTGATAGCAGCCTGGGCTGACTAGTCTAATCCCAGAGGGCAGAGCCAACAGCCGTAGAGAATATCAGTAGGCCTTAATACCTAATTAAGGAATTTCCAACATTTGTCCAGTTAGATTTCAGAATTGTTATGAGTTAAAACGCACGATCTGAATGAAGAGACCCCCAAACAGGCTTTGGGTGAGAAACAAGGCTCTTTATTCACCCAGGTGAGTGGTCTGAGCCCGAAAAGAGAGTCAGGGAGGGCAGTGGGATAGAAGCTGGTTTTATAGGTTTTGGGTAGGCAGTGGAAAGTTACAGACGTTACAGTTTAGGGCAGTTTTTGCAAGCTTGGAGGGGATCATAGGGTCTGGAGTCAGCAGGTTGACCAAGGTCAGTTATAAAGTCCATTTGCGTTATCAATTACGGTGGGAATAAGGAACAATAGAGAATGTCTCAAAGTTAATTAGGCGCCACAGGGGTTGATCATTCTTCACTTCTGTGGTTTTCCAGTTACTTCAAACTTTCTGTTTCCAGGAACTCATCTGGAGTGTCCATGCAGGTCACAGAGGTTACCATGGTGTAGTCCATGGCACTGTCAGTTGGCCTAAAAGACCTTACATTATGGATCAGAGACTTCTTCGTGCCCCCCACATTTTCCCTGTTCTTGAAGGAATATTTATAGTTGTTAACCTGTACCTGTTCCACCACTGTATATTGATGTGTGAGAAGCAAAGAACCTGGATTTTTTTTTTTTTTTTTTGAGAGTCTCATTCTATCGCCCAGGCTAGAGTACAGTGGTGTGATCTCTGCTCACTGCAACCTCCACCTCCCAGATTCAAGTGATTCTCCTTCCTCATTCTCCCAAGTAGCTGGGATTGCAGGCACCTGCCACCACACCCAGCTAATTTTTGTATTTTTAGTAGAGATGGAGTTTCACCAGGTTGGCCAGACTGGTCTTGAACTCCTGACCTCAGGTGATTCACCTGCCTTGGCCTCCCAAAGGGCTGGAATTACAGGCGTAAGCCACTGCACCTGGCCTGGATTTTTATTTTCACAGGTCTCTATAGTAAGAGAAACTCCACATAAGGAGCTGAACTTTGGAACTAACCCTGAGAAATCTCTTTTGTACCTGGACCTGACTTAGTTGATGAAATCCTGAACTTTGAGCTGATGCTGTAATGAAATAAGACATTGGGGACATTGGGAGGGAATGAATGTATTTGGGATGTGAGAGAAATGTAAATTATTGGGACCCAGAGTCTAGACTGTGGTAGGTAGCCTCTAACATGGCCCCAAATGATACCCTTCTCCTAACTTCAAACTTTCTGTTTCCAGGAACTCACCTGGAGTGTCCATGCAGGTCATACTATTGACATACTTCTGAAAAATAGAATATAGAGGAAGCAATGGTATGTCATTTGGGATTAGATTACAAAGAGACCCTGGCTTCTACCTGGAGATGCTCCCTAAATCACTCTTTAAGGGAAACATCTTCCATGTTATAGAGTTTCCCTGTGGAGAGAACCATGTGGACAAGAAACTGGTGTCTTTGGCTAATAGCCAGTAAGGACCTGAGACCTGCCAAGAATTACATAAATGTGTTTTTGGAAGGGGATATTTATCTAGCCCAGCCTTGTATGATTGGAGATCCAGCCAACAACTTCATGGCACCCTTGCAAAGCATCTTGATCCTGAGAAATCCACTTAAACTTTGCCCAGATTCCTGACCCACAACTTTGGGATAATGAATTTCCGATGTTTTTAGCCACTAAGCTTTGGTAATTTTTGTGTGCACTAGAAGGTAACAAATACATTTGTTATAATGGCATCTCTCCTTACAATTTTTTCAGTGTATCCTTAAGTTTGCTTCCCTTCCAATATCTGATTTTACCCTGAGTTTTAGTCTATTAATCTCTTAGATTGGCTTATAGTAATTATCTACATAATTATCAATTATAATTATTATTTATATAATGTGTACTATAATCTATATACTATACTATATATTAACTGCATTATAATACATAGTAGAAAAACATTAGCTTGTTATTATAGATTATTTTAAATATACACAAAAGTAAAGTAAACAAATATAATAGACTCCCATGTCCCTATCACCCACTTTCAACACTTATGGTCAATATTGATACAACACAACATTATTGACACAACCCATAGTCAATATCATTTCATCTCTACCTTTACTCACTCCTCTCTCTCAGATTATTTTCAAGCAAGTCCCAGACATATCATTTATTCTATAAAATTTTTAATATGTATCCGTCTTTAGAAAAACACTTTAAGGTTATGAGTTGACCGTAGAAGTTATATCAAGGAGTAGTCGGACAACAGAGATAAGACCTTCAGAGCAAAGCCAAGTATAGTCATTCATGTTAATATTCTTCTACTCAGGTTATGAATAAACTATTTGAAAATGTTAAGACTGTATGAGACTGGAGTAAGAGAGCTCTTTGTCATGGACAGGAATTTTGGATTAGAGATTAGCAAGCTGAAGAGAGAGGGAAAACAGTTGAAGAAAGAAAGGGAAATCCAGCATCACGGCAATAGGCTAAAGCCAAAGTCAGATGTATAACCAATGATGATTAACTGCAATGAGAATGATCAAGTAACCTTTAAGACCAAGGCTGTCTAACACTAAAGGTTAGATTACATCAAATATGTTGCATATTTTATATATTTCTCATTTAGTTCCCCAAGTCCTTCAGGAAAATCTGCTATGTACATATCCTATACTCAGAGGACTTTAGTAGTAAGCAGTTTGGACAGTGTAAAGCAGAGTGAAATATGACCTTACAGATAGGAAGTGAAAGGCTGAGAAGAACTTGATAATTCAATAGAGCAAGAACTAGAAGTCAGAGCGATCAAAAAAAATGCAAGTGACATCCCCCCCCATTGATCAAACCCAACAGGAATCAATGTAGCTATGGAAAAATGTTCTAGGTTTCCAGTAATATATGAGAAGAGAATTCAATAGATTTTTGCTTGAACACTGAAGGAAAGGGACTCTAGGAATCTAGAGAATATGTCATTACTCCAAGAGGCTGCCATTTTGGTTGCACACACAGGCACACAGACTCACCTACAAATGTACCTCCTGTTGATAAAATCAAGAACAACCCTAGTGCTGATGCCTATTGTAATATCTATAAGTTATGATGCATTTTGTAAAAGAAAAAAAGTTTTACCACCTGGTTCTACTGTCAGTGAACTACCAGAAATGATCGGGTACAAATATAAATGGCCCAGTTGAGTACATCTGCAGAATACAGATATGGTTTTTCCTGCAAATTGCTCAAAGTGGGCTATCAAGGATATAAAAATAGAACAAGGATATTATACTCAACTGATATGAAAAAAGATGGCTTTTAAGTTGAGTCGGTGGATTACAGTTTTTGGGTAAATAAGAATTCTATTGAAATTTTTTTTATTATCAGTTGTAAAAATCTTGTGGCAAATAAAATCCAATTTACTATGTCTCAAAACATTTTTTTTTAAACAGGAATTTTGGTTTCTTTGTTTCATATAATCAAGGCTGCATAAGACAGAGAGAATTGTATATAAGAATTCCCTACCCTGGTCTTAAAATGTAGCTTTTTTTAGTAACAGCACCCATGATTCACAGCTCTGCTTACCTATAAAACTGGGAGTTTTTATCTCAATCGCCTAAATCACTGTACTGGAGGAAGACTTTATTGTTCTTGGATTTTATTGTCAAACACAGAGGAATAATTTTACAGAGCAATTTCCTCTCCATTGCCTACAGCAATGATAAAACCAAAAATGTGTACAAGGGTAAAATGTGGTGTCAATCAAAAAACAATCAATTTTACCATATTTAGAGGGTTTTTTTAAAAATAAAAGTATCTTTTTGATGTAAGTATTGACTTGTCCTTGATTTCTGAAAGGAGGGTGGTATTGCAGGATATGGTTGAAGGATAGCCATAATCTCATTTCTCTCTTACGGATGAGTTATTGCAGATTTAGAGGTTATAAATTGCCCTCTCCCAGTAATCCATTATATTAGTCAGGATTCTCTTATAGAGACAAAACTAATAGGAGATATATTTTATATATATGTGTATATATATATGCGTGTGTGTGTGTGTGTGTATATATATATATTATTATGAAGTATTAACTTATTAAGTATTAACTTAATACTTAACATTAAGTTAATATTAAGGAGCTTATTAAGTAGTAACTTACACGATCACAAGGTCTCACAATAGGCTGTCTGCAAGCTGAGGAGCAAGGCGAGCCAGTCCAAGTTCCAAAACTGAAGAACTTGGAGTCTGATATTTGAGGGCAGGAACCATCCAGCATGGGAGAAAGATGTAGACTGGGAGGCTAGGCCCATTTCTTCTTTTCATTTTTTTCTGCCTGCTTTCTATTAGCTGCAAGCTGATTAGATTGTGCCCACAAAATTAAGGGTGGATCTGCCTTCCCCAGCCCACTGGCTCAAATGTTAATCTTTTGGCAACACCCTCACAGACACATGCAGTGTCAATTCTCTGTATTCTTCAGTCCAACCAAATTGACACTCAGTATTAACCATCACAAGTCCACCCCTTGTCAACTTAAACCCATACACATCTACTGATATCATGCATAACATTCAAATGAAGACCATAATGAGGTCATAATTATGCCTACCTTAATACAGCTATCCTTCGTACAACCAGAAATGCCAATCTCCAACTCAAATACTATCACATAAAGTTAACAATACTTAAATGCTAATATGAGGTCAATAAATCTTATGTTATATGATAAAGGAAAAGAAAACGAAGACATTTTCTTAGTACAAGTGTATACATGCACAAACATGTTTTTAACAAAAGAAAGAGGAAATACTTGTGACAATTACAGTCCTCATTTCTATAGCTGGTCATGTAGTTGGAGCTGGTATTGATGACTACCTTCTTCTACTACCCATTCTGTATTCCCTTTGCCTTCAGCAAGTGCCTCAGCAGGTTGCGATTTTTTTCCTCGTGGAGTGACACAAACCTTCATTCCTGAGAAGCCTGGGCCATTTGTAGTCCTGCCTGGATTGGGCTGTTGTAGCTTCCCACTGGCCTTAATCACCGGGCAGGGTAATATTAAGAGATACCCTAATGGATCTCCTGTGTTCCATACATAGTGTTCCTTACTTCTGTTGTGGAGTAGTAGACTGATTTCATCTTGATGGTCCGGGTCAATCACCCCAGCCAACACTGTAACTCCCTTCTTAGCCTGTTGACTAAGTGACTATCTTTAAGTAGGAGGACCCCAAAGTGTCCAGGTGGCAATCTTAACTTCCAGTTTAATTAACTTGTTGTTGTGTCTCCTGGTGGCAGCGTTCCTCCCTCTGGAACTAAGACCTCTAGGCCAGAAGAACATAGTGTCATGGGAACAGGAAGCAATCATTTTGCTAGTGGATCACTTAGGGGTGATAGTGAGTGGTGCCACTTCCACTTCCACCCCTTGATTCCTGGAGCTATGAATCCTGGCTATGGGAGAAACAGTATCATATATTGGATGCTGATTCAGACCATACATGGTATTCTGGAGAACTTGGCCCCAGCCCTGCAAAACATTGTCACCTAGTTGGTATTGTAATTGTGACTTCAAAAGGCCATTTCACCATTCTATCAATCCAGCTGCTTCTGGATGATGGGGAATATGGTAAGACCAGTGAATTCCATGAGCATGAACCCACTGCCACACTTCTTTAGCCACAAAGTGAGTGCATTCATCAGAGGCAACGCTGTGTGGAATACCATGATGGCGGATGAGGCATTCTGTGGGTCCATGGATGGTAGTCTTGGAAGAAGCACTGTGCACAGGAGAGGCAAACCCATATCTAGAGTAAGTGTCTATTCCACTGAGATCAAACCTCTGCCTTTTCCATGATGGAGGAGGTCCAGTATAATCAACCTGCTACCACGTATCTGGCTGATGACCCCGAGGAATGGTGCCATATCAAGGGCTCAGTGTTGGTCTCTGCTACTGGCAAATTGGGCACTCAGCAGTGGCGATAGCCAGGTCAGCCTTGGTGAGTGGAAGTTCATGTTGCTGAGCTCATGAGTAACCTCCATCCCTGCCACCATAGCCACTCTGTTCATGGGCCCATTGGGCAATGACAGGGGTGCCTGGGGAAAGAGGCTGAGTGGTGTCTACAGAACTGGTCATCCTATCCACTTATTAAAATCCTCCTCTGCTGAGGTCATGCATTGGTGAGCACTCACATGGGATACAAATATCTTCACAGTTTTTGACCACTCAGAGAGGTCCATCCACATACCTCTTCCTCAGATTTCTCTGTCACCAATTTTCCAATCATGCTTCTTCCAAGTTCCTGATCATCCAGCTAAACCATTGGCTACAGCCCATGAATCAGTATATAGTTGCACATCTGGCCATTTCTGCTTCCATGCAAAGTGCACAACCACGTGCACTGCTCAGAATTCTGCCCACTGGGAAGATTTCCCTTCACTGCCGTCCTTCAGGGATATTCTAGAAAGGGGCTGTAGTGCTGCAGCTGTCCATTTTCGGGTAGTGTCTGCATATCGTGCAGATCCAGACCCTAGTATTCTCTTCCTCTGTCAATTGATTACAGGAAACTCCCCATGAGGCTATTGATGCAGGCTGGGGGAGAGAAGACAGGGTGGCAAGAGTGGAGACCATGAGCATTTGAGCCACTTCCTCATATAACTTACTCATGCCTTCAGGACTTGCTCTAGGCTGATCATATTTATGATCAACCACTTCCATTTGCTGATGGAATGCTGCTGTGCACAGCCCACTTTATGGCTAGATGGATCAGAAAGCACCGAGT